CATTCCTTCCCCCAAAATCACATTTTTCTAATTTCCAAAGATTAATAGAATGGTTTTAATTTACCCAATTTTTGCCTGCTTTTTAGAAGGCATAATGATGGTAAGTCACACGTTCAACTTCTGATATCTCCAAGTAAGTGTTGAAAAGTTCTTGCATATAAATTTGGGAATTGCTGTAGTTAGTAGATGGATTTATATATTGCACCAAACCATAAATGGTTTGTTTGGTTTAGGTTTATCTTTTCATTTGAATCCAATCCAATGTAGTTCAGTAGACTATACTTGACAAGCTGGGGCTTAACATTTAATATCTGTGTTACTTTCATTCATATTCATAATTGTTGGTGTCTTAAGAACCAAAAAAATACAAATTGATTGATTTTTCCTTCTTTTGCTTTTTGTATTATCTTTCTGGCGGTGACTATTGTCTATGGGATTTACTACAAGATCAATTATCATGTGCTGCCACTTCTTCCTTCTTCCTGGGAGACTTTTGACTCACTGATTATATTACACTTCCATGTAGCCATTCCCTCAGAACCTCGGATAGGTATTATCTAAGTTATTATCTCAACATACTTTGCATTTTAAAAGTCTAAGAGCTATAAACTATGTCTAAAAATACTTTAAAATGCTCAGAAATGGATACTTCACCTGGAATTTACACATGGTCTTCTGCAGAGATATTTTCATAAATAGTCCCTCTGCTTTTGTACCAGTCTCACCCAGAACCTTCATTGGGAAGTTAAGGGAAATACCATATTTGATATTTGGACAATCTAAATCACAGTGGTTGTAACATAGCATGAAGATTGGTCAAATGATTGAATTCTTTGGCATAAAGGAGTTCTAGTGCAGAGCTGCAGGCATACTTCCTTAGTGATACATAAATTAATCACATTTATATATTATGTTAAATAAAAATTGGCTTGGTTACACCCTAGCATAGTGTGTAAATCCGGCCACTAGTTGCCAAATATGGTTTATGTCTTAATAGTAAGTATGATTCCCCAGGAGACTATCCTAATCAAATAAGTATCCAGTTAAAGTAGCCAAGTTAACTCACTATGAGTGCTGGGATAGGTGTGATAGGGTACACTAATGAGGATAACTGTTCTTTAGACAGATCTATGAAAGATTTTCTGGTAGTCGCTATACAATTCGTATGTTCAAAGAGAATGAGCCATTGAGGCTGGTTGTTGGAAGTGATACAGTGAAGGCTAGTGTTTTCATGTCAGTTTGATAAAATAAAATAAGTTCCAGCTTATGGTCTTCCCAGAAATACTAGTTGGTTACTATAGGAACAATAGCTAGCTTCATATATAGCTAAGTATATTTTGGTTTGAACATGGTTTAATACTATGCATGAACCCAGCTTTTATGGTTTATGTCAGGGGTCCTCAACCTTGGCAACTTGTGGACTTCAACTCCCAGAATTCCTCAGCCAGCAAAGTCTTAAAGTTGCCAAGATTGAGGACCCCTGGTTTAGGTAATACTGCAGTTAAGATAATATTGCCTTAGTACACTGAAATCAATGGGAAAATAGGTCATTGATATATCCAAGAAGTTATTCTCACTTTTGTAAAAAGCATCTAATAGTATCTGATCTGTACTGGCTTGGATCAGGAAAGCAATATTGAATAAAAAATATTGTTTATGGGTAGTCTTCCCTTAACAACTACAACTGGAACCTTTACTAAGTAATGTAGGCATTAAGTGAGATGTCATATGATAGGGACTTGCAAATTTACTGCCAACTTCTCCATTGACTGTTTGAAGCCAGCTGTGAAGCCTGCAAGTGGCAATCATGACAGTGAAGAGCAGTGTCACAGTCATAAATGCCAATTGGCTGTGAAGCGCCTGAATCTTGATCACATCACTGCAGGGATGCTGGGAGGGTTATAAAGTTACTTTTTCAGAAACTGTTGTTAAACAAGGAGTTATTGAGAATACCTGTATCTGGATTTTATTTATATATTTTTTTATTTATTAATTTTTTTTTATCTTGCTCTTATTAGTAATTCAGAAGTAACTCAAAGTTGTGAACATACTTAATACTTGTTTCTCTTCCTATTTTCCCCGCAATAACAACCCCTGTTAAGTGGGTTGGGCTGAAAGAAAGTGGCCCAAAGTCATCTAGCTGGCTTTTATATTGTTTTCACATTAACTTTACATTGTATAAATAAAATGTGGCTCAAAACCATGAGATTCCTCTTTATAATCAGACACAGACAGTCACAGAGATGATATTTATAACATCATAGAACTTTGCCAAAATCATCTTGGTATTCATCTCATACTACATGGCACATTTTCACTTAAATGCCATCACCTTCCTCATTCAGTTTATTTGGGAACTGTTTTTTTTTTCTTTTGAAAACAGTAAGTTTTGAGGCATTTGATATCAGTCTTTCAGAAGGTTCTAGTCATCCACACAAACTGAAATGTACAAGAACAAACTCTTCTCTATGACTTACTTTAAACGGGTCTCTTGTTTTCCCCCTTTCCTGTTCCTTTATTCTAAATAAAGGAGGGCGCCTTGGTTTACTGAGGAGCTCTGGGAGATGAGCGACGTTGGAGGGCCAGTAACTCTGAATCTGACCGATCACTATTAAGAGCCTATCTTAGGACTGATTTAGTGGTGATAAGGGCGGCAAAGCGTGTTCACTTTTCGGCACTTATTGCGTCCACAGAATCTCACCCGGCCACCCTGTTTAGGGTGACCCGCTCCCTTCTTAAAGTGGAGGAGGCGGAGGAACCCTTGCAGGGGAGAGCTGAGGAGTTTGTTCAGTTTCTCTTGGACAAAATCGCTCAGATTCAGAGAGACCTGGACTCCGACTGGGCAGTGCCAGCCGAGTTGCCGGGGGCTGGTCTTAGTCATGTTATCTGGAGCGAGTTTGAGTCTGTGACCCCTGATGAAGTGGACAAGGCCGTGAGGGCAATGAATGCCGCCACCTGTATATTGGACTTGTGCCCCTCCTGGCTGGTTTCTGCCAGTAGGGAGGTGACACGAGGCTGGCTCCAGGCAATAATCAATGCCTCCTTGATGGAGGGGTCTTTCCCGCAACCTTTAAAGGAAGCGGTGGTGAGGCCCCTCCTCAAGAAGCCTTCCCTGGACTCAGCTGTTTTGAAGAACTTTCGTCCTGTCTCCAACCTCCCTTTTGTGGGGAAGGTTGTAGAGAAGGTGGTGGCGTCCCAACTCTTCCGATCCTTGGATGAAACTAATTATCTGGACCCTTTTCAATCTGGTTTCAGGCCCGGCTACAGCACTGAGACTGCTTTGGTCGCACTGACCGATGACCTCTGGCGAGCCCGGGATAGGGGTCATTCCTCTATCCTGGTGCTTCTTGACCTCTCAGCGGCTTTCGATACCACCGACCATGGTATCCTTCTGCGTCATCTCGGAGAGGTGGGGGTGGGCGGCACCGTATTGCGGTGGTTCTTCTCCTACCTCTCTGACAGGTCGCAGTTGGTGCTGGCAGGAGGACAGAGATCGACCCCTAGGCGCCTTGATCATGGGGTGCCTCAGGGCTCAGTCCTGTCCCCCGTCCTTTTTAACATCTACATGAAACCGCTGGGTGAGATCATTCGGCGACACGGGGTGAGGTATCATCAGTACGCGGATGATACCCAATTATATATCTCCACCCCGTGTCCTTTCAGTGAAGCAGTCGACGTGATGTGCCGGTGCCTGGAAGATGTGAGGGTCTGGATGGGGGTGAACAGGCTTAGACTCAACCCTGACAAGACCGAGTGGCTCTGGGTCTTGCCTCCCAAAGGTCAACTGGATGGTCCATCATTAGTCCTGGGGGGGGCAAATTTACCTCCCTCAGTGCAGGCACGCAACTTGGGTGTCCTCCTGGACTCACAGCTAAATTTGGAACAACATCTATTGGCTGTGGCCAGGGGGACCTTTGCCCAGGTTCGCCTGGTGCACCAGTTGCGGCCTTATCTGGACCGAGAGGCTTTACTCACAGTCACTCATGCCCTCGTCACCTCAAGACTGGATTACTGTAATGCACTCTACATGGGTCTACCCTTGAAGAGCATTCGGAGGCTGCAGTTGGTTCAGAATGCAGCCGCGAGAGCAATTGTGGGCGCGCCAAGTTACGCCCACATGTCACCTATCCTCCGCGAGCTGCACTGGCTTCCTGTGGGTCTCTGGACGCAATTCAAGGTGTTGGTTATCACCTTTAAAGCCCTTCATGGCATAGGGCCAGGTTACTTACAAGACCGCATACTGCCGCACAGTTCCCAGAGACCGGTGAGGTCCCATAGATTGGGCCTCCTTCAGGTCCCATCGGCCAGACAATGTCAGCTGGCGGGCCCTCGGGGAAGCGCCTTTTCTGTGGTGGCTCCGACCTGGTGGAATCAACTTCCCCCCGAGGTTCGAACAACTCCCACCCTGCCGGCCTTTAAGAAAGCCGTTAAAACTCTCCTGTTCCGGCAGGCCTGGGGCTGATGTCCCCAGGGGGGGGCCGGGACATGATCGGACTTGCGGTATGATTGAATTATTTTATTGTTTTATTCTCGATGATTGTCTTAATTTTGTACGCCGCCCTGAGTCCTTTGGGATTGGGCGGCATATAAATCAATTAAATAAATAAATAAATACATACATACATACAAACATACATACATACATACATACATACATACATACATGTAGGGAACCAAATTACAGGTAGTCCTTAGTTTATGACTACACTTACAGTGATTATTCAAAGTTACAATATCATTAAATGAGGGAGGCTTATGACCAGTCATATTTTGCAGCCTCCCTGCAGTCATACGATTGCATTTTAGGCACTTCCAATATCTCATTGGCTGCCACAAAGAAGAGGGAGTCAGGCTATTCTCCAAAGCTCCTGAAAGCAGGAGAAGAAGCAATGGATGGAAACGAATCAAAGAGAGTGTCAAGTGATTGTAAGAAATGTTTTTATTTATCTGAGTTGCCTTAAATTATTCCTTATTGTTATACTTTTTATTTTTATTTACAGATTATATCTAGGAGAATTTCAAATCCATATGTGGAAAACCCGCCTAATAAGGTATTGTTACTGTTGTTTTTCTATTTGTATTATTATAGAAACTCTAGTCCAGGGGTAGGCAATCTTGGCTCTTTTATGACTCGTGGACGTCAACTCCCAGAATTCCTGAGCCTGCCCCTGCTCTAGTCACATTCCTTCATTGTTTTGAGCTATTTTATATTTAAATGCAGCAGTATTAGCAGCTCTTTATTTTTGAGCCCATAATTGCCATGTGGAATGTAATTTTAATATATAATTTTTATTGATAACTAAAACCATACTTTAAAAGATTAATGAAATTGTGCTGTACTAGTTTGCTCTGTCTTGCAAATTTTATATAGTTGTAAAGCTACATATAACTGTCTAAATTGCAAAAATTGTTGTCTGTCCAATTTATCTTTCTTTAGATTTATGGAGAGGATGCCTTGTGTGCTGGAAGAGCACTCAGAAACGTTTTTCTATTACAAGCTTCCGCTCTGATAAAAGATAGAATGTCTCTGATGGGCCTTTGCAGGTAACAGTGCATTTCTTATTTTAACTAAAAAAAATTCTTATTTTTACTTCCGCCTGCTCCGTCATTCACTTGCATTGGATCTGAATCGGTGCCCATGTATTTCTGGCTTGGCATCGATCTCTTTCTAAGCCAGGGGTCTTCAAACTCGGTCCTTTTATGACTCATGGACTTCAACTCCCAGAATTCGTCAGCTAGCTCCATGAGTCATAAAAGGGCTGAGTTTGAAGACCCCTGTTCTAAGCTGATAACTTCTTAATCCAAAGCAGTCTTGTGGTGCTATGTAAATGCAGTGATGGTCACCAGCAGCCTACGTGGAAATAACTTTGTGATCTAAGGCACTGAATAAACTGTTTTTATTTGTAATTTTGTTGTTTGTGTGTTTTGTGTGCTCATCAGTTTCTGAAGATTCTTAGTTACTTTCTGACCTAGTTTATAGCATTGTTCTGCACAGATTGAATATCCAGTCACTTACAAATAAGTTCATCAAACCCTGGCATTATGATTTGTAACCATAATCTGTGCTTAAGTTGAAGTGCTAGTTGATTTTTGGTTTATTAAATCATAGTTACACAAACCTTGGATTGGCATGATATACAAATACAGTCAGAATATTATTTCTAAGTTATAAACTTGATTATGCTAATAAATTATGACAATGACAGAGATGAATTGTTTGTCGTGAAACAAGAAAACGATCTTTGATTGCTTTGATTTCCCCCCACCAAGAATTGGGATTTTTTCCAAAGATTCTTTTTTCTACTTTATGAGTGCACATTATCTGTATTTAAGCTTTAACTTCATTATTTGTGTTCTAGTAAGCAATCTGGTTTTACTATTTTTTGCCATCCAAGATGTCTTCAGCAATTTTTTCTAGCACAATTCAAAATCAATGGATCACTTTTTATTATCGTCACTGACCAGCATTAAAAACAATAATAATAGTAAAAAATAAAAACACAAGACAAAAAAATATATTGCAATTTGTGCTGGATTAACAGTGGGCGGTTAAAATTTGCCTAATTTTACATAGAGCATAACAGAATTTGGGCATATTCAGAGAAATTACTTCATACTGATCTGATACTAATAGTTGCACATAAAAAAGATTGATATTTCCCAGATATTTTATTAGGTAAGGTGTTACAAATTGAGCCTGTGAGTCTTTATAGAACAGAGGTGTCAAACTGCCAGCCCGCAGATGGGGTGCATCATGCAGAAGCTGTGCCCATCCCATTGCTGGCAATGGCAAAACTCTCCCGATACGTTGTGCGATGTCACGTGACATTGCGAGTTTAACATGTCTGTTATAGAAGATGCAATATAGGAGGACATGAGCTATAGTTTCAATGTCCAGAGGGGCCAATCTTAGCTCATATGGTATTTTTTTGTATCCACCCATCAAAACTGCTGTGGGAAGTGTGCTGTATGCTAAAATTGCTGTAGTTTGGATTTTGGGGACTGTTATTTGATATAAATATGTCACTGCTTTAAAAAAGGAGCTGGCTGAAATAAATATTTTTGGGAAAAGCAGCCCTATTATGCTGGATTTCCAGATCTTTAATGTGTTGTTGTACTAAGGAGGAGGGGTTGAACTAGAAGACCTCTAGGGTCCCTTCAATTCTGTTATTATGTTAATTTAGTTTTCAAAGAAATTTTTAGAGCTTAATTATGAAGTCGTATTAGTTTAAGAAAGAACCTATCCATCTCCATTTGGTTTAATTAATTAAACTAATTAAAATACATATGCCATTTTTAATTGATTAAAACATATTTAAGCTATTTTAATGTAGAAAATCATTTACTATGCGAAATGCAAGTAGAACACAAGTATCATTTTTTCTTTTCTCCTTCCCAATAAAAATAAAGATTTCAATCAAAAATAGACAAAATATGTTTTTTAATAATGTAATGTTAATCTGTATCTTAAAGTAGTAGTAGAGCCTTTTAATGTTATAAAATAATCTATTGGAAACAATACTTCAATAGATTTAGAAACATTTTCAACGAGAATAATAAACTTGATCACTTTTATATAATTTTGAAATCTGCATTTTATTTTTGAAAGGGTCAGTCTCATTTTGACTATACATTTTTATTGGATCACTGTTAGCACTTTATTCCAGCAACTGTAGAAAATTCTGATTTTTTGCTGGTTCGTGAGAACAAATTCTGGCAATGTTCCAGCTTTGTATTTCATATGCTGCTTATGCACCCAAAGTTGGAGCCTTGCCAAAACTCCTTTAAGTCTTAGGTTAGATAGACAAGCTATCGGGGGATGCAGGAACTAATTTTGGTAGTAATTCAAAAGTGAGTGTGAAAGCCACGAGGCTTGCACAGGCAGACTCTTGTTAGAACTTTCCAGCTGTTGTCCTGTCCAGGCGGAATAAGAACAAGTTCTGACTGTTACAATGGTTCAAATAATTCCACAACTGTTATGGCTCAAATAATTATCCCCAAATACTATTTTAGTTGCTCTTTTAAGGATATTTTTGGTATTACTCTTTTCCAAGAAACTAGGGGTGGTTTCAAAGGAAGAAGGATCACTCAGATGCTGCTGGCTTCCCCCCAAAACTGAATGGTTTCACAGCTAACTAAGGGCCTTATTAAATGCTCAAAGTAAAATGCAGCAGGAAACAAACAAACAAACTGGGATTGACGCCAACCAGGGTTTCTGTGACAACAGTAAACACTACCAGGTTTCTTCTTAACATATCTGCCTGATTATTGAGACTGCATGTTGCTAAATAGCTGAAGTAAATTAGATCTGGCAATAAAAGTGTGGGCAATCACTAGAAAGAGATACAGAAGCCTGATATCTTGCTACTATTTAGTGATTTTTATATGGATTTTTCTTTCCTTCGTTCAGCCTAGTGTTTGTGAGTTAGTGTCTAGTATGTATGTGTAGTGTATATACATAGAAAACAGAACAAACCAGTTTAGTTGATCAAATAAATAGGTGAACAGTCAGCAAAAACTTATTTGCACTAAGTAGACTCATTTCATCTATTATTTGAGTGCTAAATCAAGGAAACCAATCACTCAGAGTAAATTTACACCACTGGGCTATCATAGGAAGTACCTTCCCTCTTCTAATTTATTGCAGCAGGTGTTCCTGTTTGGGGCAAGCATTTTCAGTTCTGTTGCCAAACATATTTGCTGCCTGGATCATGTGGAAATTTTGTTTTCTTCACATCCCCCTATAACTTCAGACACAAAAGGCAATGAGAAATAGCCAGAAGGGCCTTGACGTTTTTATGGAATCTTTTTTGGTGATTCCAAGTTCATAGCACACAACATCTGATGAACCTTGTGAATTTGGGCTAATAGACATTCTGGACAATGTAGAAAGTAGAGAATGGTCCATGAGATGTCTGAAGGCAGAGCTGAAGCTATGTAAGACTTTGCTTCAAGCTTTGAGTCATGATTTACAGTTTGAAAACCCCCAGATTAGATATATTTTTCTTTTGGCACTTTCAACTATCCAGCCCTGAGAAAGTACTGGATTAAAATATCTTGAAGAGCTCTTATATGGTTATATAAATTATGAAAAACAAAGCAAAAGGAAAAATCGAGGCTAAAGGATTTATGGTGTTCATATATGAACTAAATTAATCTCAAAGCCATCTCTTTTTGGGTCTTTGTAAGGAGAACAATAGGTACAGCTGGAGTGCTGTAACTATTAGGCCTCTGCAAAAAGTATAGAGTGGGATTTGCTCCTAGAAAATTTAGCACATCAAGGCTCTCAGTATTTTCTAGACAGATTTTAATTCACCAGCTATTCCAGTGGAAGTGACTCATGGCAGGCACACAGTGGTTTAAATGGCTGTTTTGATAGCTACTTCTGAATATGTAAACTTCATGGCACCTGTTGTAATGTAACCAGTCTTTGGAGTGAACACAGTTACACTGAACTGCAAAGTTAAATGTAAAAGATTATTTGCATAGTAGCATGTTCATTATGTCACCAGGATTTAACCTTAAATATATGCTGTATTTCAGTTTAGGTACGTGTATTTTATCATAGTATGAATCAAAGTACAATATATGTTTATTCAAAAGTAAGCCTGACATGAGCACCGAACATATTCTCTTGTAAATGCCTCAGGATTACAACTTTGATCTTTATTTTGTTAGGCAAAGCTGCATTGGATCTGAACTGGTAGATTGGCTTTTGAAATGCTGCACTTTCATTAGGAGCAGATCTACAGCAGCTGGTGTCTGGCAGCTACTACTAAATATGGGAATTGTGTTTACAGGTCAGTAGCAAGTCCAACCTCTTGTGTAAAACATTCAATTTCTCTTGTTTTCATCTTTATTGGCGCATTAGATTTAGAATATATAGAAAGAAATTAGAAAAAAAGAGTATTATTTTGAAAATAATCTCCCTTTATCATGCATTTGTATCTTTCATATTCTGAATACTTACAATGATATATTTGCTAGATATTTATGCCCATGAAAGTACGTATCAGTTTTCATAATATATATCACTTGGTTATTTCTATCATTTTTTTCTGGACATTATTTCCATTAAATTTCTAAAATCTAGATAGCAGATTCACTGTATGCTTATGGTATTTGAAAATAATTTTTTGACTGAATATGCATTCCTTTTTCTATTTATTTCTTCTTCCTCTTCAGTCATTTTTTTAATGATATTTTTTGATAGTACAAAAAGGCTATCTTCTTGTATTAAAAGGTGGCATGCATGTCCACATATACATTAATAAATATATTGCTTTGATATATATCTGTGTTCACCTTTTTTCATGTTTTACCACATTTATCATAGACCCATCCACATATACGTCATTGATATGTCTGGCCTCTCCATCCACCTTCTTTATTTATGACTGAACCTTTTCTTCATCTCTCTGCTAGATCTTTTTACATTGATTCTTGCTATGATGTTTACCTTTTCTTCAGATAGCTCAGTATGACTTGCTTAATGTAATGTTTCATTGTTTTTTATGGAATACTGTGCTTACTGTACTCTGTAAGGCTTTGAATCTTTACTGAATGACTCTTGAAAAACACTTAAGATATCTTAAGTGATAAATTTTTTGAAACGTAGGGCTTGAATAGAAGTATAATTAATGCAAATTCATCTATCAGCATATTTATTGTATGAGTTTCTTATTTCATTCAAACCATGCTAAAGTAGAGCCACTTTTCAGTAATAGCTTGTTACAACCATATTTTTTCCAGTTGTGTGCTCATAATATGCATGTCTACATATGCATGCAGTTTATTTTTTCCTCTCAGTGAAGAAGTTCTGGAACCATTTCATTTCAGTGTGCGCTGTGAGAATAGTTTGTGTAGTTAGCATGGCTTTGTTTGCTGAACAGGGTGCTTTTTAATAACGTTATTCCTAACTAGCATCTCGTAATGAACAGAACCAGCCTTTATAGGTAGTTTATCATTAGACCAACATGCACTCATGAAAGAGTTTTTCAGAAAATGAAATGTTTTGTTAAGGAAGCATAACTCATTGATTCTGTGATAAGTAGTCAAATGGTTGGCTGAGATTGATGAGTTATGACACCTGGTAGAAGAATGGTTTATGGTGGTTTGATTAGAGAGAATTATTACTGATCTATAACATTCTGTCCTAAAACTTAGAGAATAGAGATGGAAAGCTACTGATGAAGAAATAGAAATTCTACTGTCCACAGATTGTAGACTTTAATCATGTGCTGTTAGTGCAGTAACTTTTTTCTATCCTGTTTCTTCCCTATGGATCAGTTCTCATAATGCTGACTGAGAATTATGGGGGTTGTAATCTAATATATCTAGATGCTATTTGGGGAAAACTGATCTTCTACCTGCACAAGGACTTGTGAAGAAATAATTGGTTGCCATATATGTATTGGTCTTTGACATCTTCTTCAAATTGACCAGTGTTTCTGAACCTTAGCCATTTTAAAATCTGTGAACTTCAACAGCCAGAATTCTATAGCCAGCATGCTGGAGGTTGTTGAGGTTGAGAAACATGATGTAAACATACTCATGTTATTTGTCTTGCAGTAGCATGGAAGTAGTGTTTCCCTTTGTTCTATGCCATTTTCAGAATCTTTGTTTTCTAACCTTCTCTCTAGTCTATAGCACTGGAATTCTTGGGGGAGGGGGAGGGTTGGCCATAGAAATATTCCCCTAACTCTGTTTTTCATGTTTATACACAGATTGCCAGATGTTTTTACTTGATGAATTATAGACTAAAGTTGCATATATGTATTTGGCTTGTGACAATTAGGTAAGAACCATTTCTTTTAAAAATATATAATATATATATATTTCTTTTCTTTAAACAGTGGGTAAGCAGATATATTTTCTAGATAGGTATGTTTTCTACCAGTTCTCATCTGATGAATGCACATACCTATTCTGTGAATATGAAGGAGAAAAAAGATGGAAAAATGGTGTGAAATTTCTATTGAAGATGGTGCCTGTTACTTCTCCAAGAATTAATATGTGTAACCTGTAAGTATATTTCTGTTAGTTACTGACTGACTTGCTTCACATATACATTTAAAATGCTTTAGTTTTACAGCATGTTATGAGTCTGTTTATTATGATTTATCTTACTTTTCAAACATTTTAATAAAATTTCAAAATATTGCAATTAATTTTTTTAAAAAACCTAAATCAGTGTAAGATATTACATATAAGTACCAACATAATTACCATTGTAAAAATGATTATATAAAAATAAACCTAAATCATTATATTAAAAGAGTATTTTTTCTTATGATTTAGCATTATATAGGAATCAAAGTATTAAAACACTTAACATTATATATGAACATGATACTGCTTTTGAATAGAAATAAACCTATTGTTTTACTTGCTACATTTTATAAAGCCCGCTGCTACTTATGTGTCTTTTTAATCAAGTATATCACAGTATCTAAAAAGCATGCATGTTGTATTTTCCCTCATTTTTAAACAATTTTAGTTAAACTAAAAGGTTATTATCTCTGTCTCAATTAGGAGTTAGTTTTGCATTAAGTCAGACATGTCAAACTCATGACATCATGTGATATCGTGCAACGTAATGAGCGGTTTTGCTATTGCAGGTAATGGGGTGGGTGCGGCTTCAGTATGATGAAACCGGCCCGTGGGCTGGCAGTTTGACACCCCTGCATTAAGTGATAGGCAAAAGACATCAAACCCAAGATGACATCAGGTATACAGATAGCACTAATGTCATAATCAAGGCTACTTAGTTTTGGCTTAATTTGATTTGTGACCTCAACTATTATCACCATAATATAAATCTGTATAATTGTGGTTATTTAATCATTTTGATTGAAGAATCTATGAATTAGGACAATATGTGAGCTTTATCACATTATTCAGCTTTGAAATAGTGACAAATTAAAAAGCAGGACCATTAAAATAATCAGTGGATAATGGCAAAAGAGAGAGGACAGGAGAACATGAGATTGGAAAAAATCATTTAAAAAACTTACTGATAGGAGAAACTGAAATTAAAACATCAGATTCAGTGATCTGCTGGGTTTCTTGTACTTTATATCATGTACCCACTGGAGGCAAAGTCAGTGGCTTTCTTGATTCCATCTGTTGGTCACAAGAACCTAATAATTGAGGTTCATAACTGTAATTCACTGAAGAGTTTATTTCTTTGGGGTGCCTTCTTAAAGTTGCTGTTTAGTTATGCCATTCCAGGAAACTTAATAACAAATCTAGAATATTATATTTTCTTAATATAAGCACATTTGATAAAAAAAATAAAGGCATTTGGTTGTAGTAATGTTAGGAACATTTTAATCACTTATATTATTTAGTTAAAATATTTATATAGCCATCTATCTTATAACAAACTCTGGGCAGTTCCCAATCAGCAGTTAAACACCAATAACAAAATAATATAATATATAAATATATTAAAACCATAAACATTAAAAAACTAAAGATACTAAAATTAACTTTCAACATACAGTTCCTCATAAATCATCTCATCAACCATATCTTATACCAGCACTTATGGGAAAAGCCAGGTCTTTAAAGCTTTCTGGAAGGCTAGGAGGGTAAAGGCTTGTCAAACTTCAAAAGAAAGTGTATTACATAGGGCAGAGGCTGCTGTGAAAAAGGCACACTTCCTAGAGTCCATAACATGTTAATGTTTAAGGAAAGAGATTAGGAATGTGCCAACATATCTGATCTGGTAGAATGGATGTCCTTAGGAAGAAGCGTTATTGCAGATAACCTGATCCTGTGTGGGATTTTAAAGATGATAACTATGACCTTGAATTGTACCTGAAAGAAAAGTGAGAGCCAGTGCAGTTTGCACAGCAGAAATATTACATCAGCAAACCTAGGCATTATGTCTTAGTCATAATAGTCTAATTCCCTGTTTCCCTATGCATTCAGATCAGTCTTATACCTTAGATATACCATTAGCTTTTATTTGCTTTTTGTTTCAATAGGGATAACAGAAGAATAGAAGAAACAGCTGAAACCAATGCAGAAATTCTTGTTCGTCTTACAGCAGCAGTAAGCCTTTCTTAAATATTAATTTGTGGGATGATTTTAATTAATTACATAAACATTATGTTTCTTGTGTTTGTATTTGGATTGTAAATTCTCCACTACTGATTAGCAGTGGAAAATACAAGAGCAATAGTAATTAATATTACTTGTAGAACAGAGCTAGTTATTAAAATAAAGAAACTCAAAATTAAGGTAAGTGTAGCTAATATGCAAAGCAAGAGTGCTGTATTAAAAAGCATGGAGTATTTTGATTTTGATCTATTTCTAATAAAGTTATCAGTAGCAAGCTATTAATGGGAGAAGTTTTGAAACGTTTTCAGAGACATGTCTTTGAACAGTAAGAGATATTACTGAAGTTGGGAAATATTTTTAAATAATAGAATGTGAAATACATGTAGCTTCTTTAAAGTATTTAAGGCATTGATGAGAAATATTTTTCTCAGAGATCCCACTGAATTCAAGCCAGTTAAAGAGGAACTGGGCACATGCAACTTGTTGTCTGGACTGGTCTGCATTAACCTATTACAACTGGAATATCTTTGCCAATTCTGACTTTAAGATCCTAAATTCATAAAATATCTTCATTTGAGAACACTTTGTTCAGCTTTCTCCAGAAGAGGGTACAGGAAGACCAGACATTAAACTATCAGTCTCTTTATCATCCATGGGAAAATAAACATTAATACCAAGCATTAGACCAGTGGTTCTCAACCTTTTTAATGCCGCAACCCCCAACCAGTCGTAAGTCAAGGACTACCCAACTGGTCGTAAGTCGAGGACTACCCAACTGGTGGTAAGTTGAGGACTACCCAACCATCGTAAGTTGAGGACTTTCCTTGCCCGGGAGCACCGTGCATGCGTGGTGCTGCCCCCTGCGCCAGCTGAGGCGTAGCTGGCAAGGGGCAGCAATGGCGCAGGGCGACCACCGGCTGGGCCACTAGCTGGCCCAGCCCAAGGGAGGTAAGGCACCCGCCGGACCGCACGCGCGCCAGCAACCCTCCCTGCGCCTGCCAGCCTCCCACCTCCTACCTCTGGCCCTCTTTTACTTACATTTTTAGTAGTTGCTCAGCAGGGAAGGGTGGAAACTTCCAGACAGCTCGCCTTCACTGCAGACAACTTATAGCACCGTTTGCAGAATGGGACTTTTGGCAGTCTCAGCAGGGCAGAGACAGCCTGGACAATTCCTATTGGCTTTTGAAAGCCAATAGAATTAGACTCTATTCAAGAGAGTCTATTCTATTGGCTTTCAAAAGCCAATAGAATAAAAGGGAGTAGCACAGCTAAGGAAAAGGGGAATAAATGGTGGACTGCGTTGTTTGGTGACCCCGTGAAATGGTCGTTCGACCCCAAATGGGGTCGCAACCCACAGGTTGAGAACTGCTGCATTATACCAAGACATCTGAAAATGACACTATGGGCCAGGATTTCTGCTGTACTGTTTGTTTAATTCTGCTGTACTGTTTGTTTAAATCAAGGTTAATAATTCAGCACTTGTTTCATGCAATCTCCATTTAACAGTTAAGGGCATCTATAAGCAAAATCTCAACAGCAAGAACAAAGAAATATCCTGAGCTATGTGTCTTGTAAAAATGAGCCATTTAAAAAAAAATAGTTTAAAAGAGATATCATTTTTTTCTGTTCATCAATTGGCAGCATTAGAAGTCAGGTGCTTCTGCCTACCACAAGATAATGTGCTTAACTTTCATGAATAAAATTGCTTTCACCCTCATGTCTTCCTGTTCTTTTGGATTACCCTGATAGCTGATCAGTCATGCTGGTGCTGATGGAAATTGTAGTGTTTATTTTTAAACGTGCTTATAATTATTTCTTTGATTTCAGATAGCTTTGAAATACACTTTTTTTTGCTTAGCATGTAGACTGAATTGTTTATTTTTATTGTTAGATCTGCCAGTAATGCCTTGTTGATAGAACTGAAGTATTGCAGACTTTTTCCCTTAATGCATCAGATAAACACTTTATTTTGTAATTTTAATTAAAGAGATAGTCCTGCCAACTTTGCCCATTAATGCTTATCTTGCCACTCTTTTATTTTTTTAAAAAATAAAACTTCAATGCTGCCTTTGTTAAATTTATATTTTAGTCCTAATATGAAGGAAAATCTGGATATAAATATTTTAAAATAAAATTGAACCAATTGAGGATTAACTTTTCTTCATGAAAGGTAATGGCATAAACTGACATTGCATTCTAAAACTAAAGAATAAATTATTTAGTAATTATGCAGAAGAAACTACCGTATTTTCCGGCGTATAAGACGACTGGGCGTATAAGACGACCCCCAACTTTTCCAGTTAAAATATAGAGTGTGGGCTATACTCACCGTATAAGACTACCCCTCTTCCAAATAAAAATTAAAAAACATCAGATTTGATTTCAATATGGTAATTTTAATTCAAATGCTTATGACATGCAGGTACTTAGCAGAAAAACTGTCATTTATAAACATAAGGCTGTCATCAAACATATAAACATAAAACAGTGCAAGTGGATTAAACTTTTCCTAATTCACTCTAAAGCTGAAAGGAAGGATAAGACAATAAAACCATGGGAGCTGCCATGCTGTTTGTTTTCTAAGCTGTCAACCAAACTGAACTGATGATGATAGGAGCACACACACACATGCCTCCTTTCCCTCTTCCCTCCAATCCTTCCCAGCTCAGAAAGCAGCGAGGAGAAGCGTGCGTGCACACACACACACACACTCGCCTCCTTTCCCTCTTCCCTCTCCCTCCAATCCTTCCCCCCCACCCTGATTTCCAGCTCAGAAAGTGCAAAGCAGCGAGGAGAAGTGTGTGTGTGTGTGTGTGCGCGTGCACACCAGACTGCCAGAGACACTTAGGGGCAGGGAGCACAATGAGAGACAGCAAGGGAAAGAGGAACTTGCCTTACTCTGTTTCCTGGAATGCCATGGAGAGAATGGCACGTCAAGCGGAGGGGGGGGGTGACGCCTCTGCTAATTGCTTTTATTCACCACAGGCTGGATGCTGGTTTGCCGGGTGGGGGGGTGGGAACAGCAAGTGGGAGCCTATGTAAAGCACTGGGAGCAACTCACTCCCAGTGCTAACTTTGTTGCTGTATGGATTAAAGGCCATTCGCTTGTCATTCGTTCCTGTTTGTCGGCTCTTTTCTGGGCACCGAAGAGGACGCGCTGACAGATATTTCAGTAGTTGCTTGTTGTAATTTTTAACTTATTTAAACCTTGCTGATTTCTGTACAAAATGATTCACCTGCTGAAGCATGCATATCTGCATTGGCTATTCATGGCACATTAATGAAAATTAAGGAGTGAGATAAGGAAAAAGTAATTTTTGTGCAGTACTGTAAAAATGGCTATTGATTTCCAGTAAGCACACACGCACGCACGCACGCCTCCTTTCTCCCTCCAATCCTCCCTTCCCACCCCGATTTCCAACTCGGAAAATGCAAAGCGTGTGTGTGTGTGTGTGTGTGTGTGTGTGCGCGCGCGTGGGCGTGGCCTCCTTTCCCTCTTCCTCCAGTCCTTCCCAGCTCAGAAAGCAGCGAGGAGAAGCGCGCGCACACGCACACACACACACACACACACACACACACCCTCCTTTCCCTCCTCCCTCTCCCTCCAATCCTTCCCTCCCACCCTGATCTCCAGCTCAGAAAGTGCGAAGCAGCGAGGAGACAGATTGAGACCCCCAGGCATTTATCAGCCTGTGACTTCAAGTTAGCAAAAAGCAGCTGCAAACCACACGCCTGCTAGAGGTGAGCCGCGGGGACGGATTGCTGAAACAAACAGCTTAGAGTTTAATTGCTCTTCCCACTGCCACTCTACCAATCAAGGACTCTTTTTGAGTGAGGGGGGGGGAGAGAAAACTTGATGAGTAATATACCAAACCACATGTGTAAAGGAATAAAATAGAATACCCGTATTTTCCGGCGTATAAGACGACTCGGCGTATAAGACGACCCCCAACTTTTAAGAAGGTTTTTGTGTCTTAGAAAGTCGTCTTATACGCCGGAAAATACGGTATTATATTTAGAATAGATAGAAACAAAGTAGGCAATATAATGAGCACTTATCAGAGATATGGAGACATCTAGGCTCATTTTGCTATGATTGTAAAAGCAGATTTATTTATTTATTTATTTATTTATGAGACTTATATACCGCTTTAAGTGCAAGCACTCTCTAAGCGGTGTACACCAGTAAGCAATGTATATATATATTTACATTGCCTCCAACAATCTGGGTCCTCATTCTACCTACCCCGGAAGGATGGAAGGCTGAGTCAACCTTGAGCCGGTGAGATTTGAACCGCTGACCTGCTGAACACAGTCAGCTAAAGTGGCCTGCAGTACTGCACTCTAACTGCTGCGCCACCTCGGCTCTAAAGTTCAACAAAATCTGGAAGATAACAAGTGGTCCAGATATAGTTATATCTGGGTGATATTAAGATTCCCAATGTCATTTAAAACTTTGGATCTTGAATGAGAAGAGCATGGGGAGTAGGTGGAAGTGGGGTTAGTGGGCTGATTGAGGGGCTTCAAATTCTGGAAATATTTTGATTGATTTGGTCCAGGTACTAGATGGCAGATATTTTTCGGTTGTAGGGGGTGATGCAACCAAGGATGGACTTTTATGAAATGAGTGAAATGAGTTTATAGTTGACAATAAGAAGTATAATGGAACACTGGGAGCAGGCTACCCTTGGAGAAGAAGAGTTTGATAGCTTTTACTAATCCTCTCCCTCAGGTTCTTAGTCTTCTTCACAAGAACCAGGATTCTGGCCTTGTCAGCTGCAAAGGATCAGAATCATTCATTAAGTAGTGACACAGAAAATTTGTTCAAGCCTATACACAAGAAACCAGTCAAGTAAAGATCAGTGCTAAAATGGTGCTAGATAAGGGTCAACAGAATTCAGGAAGGATTGGACTTGGACTGTTATGAGAATGTAACAAATCTAAGCCGATGACATACTTAATTCTGCCCCCTAACTTGCCTGCTTTTCTTTTACCTACTGTTGCTATTGGAAAAACCCTCTCATCCACCATTTAATTGTATTTTATATTACAAAAACTTAGAGGACAGGACAGTATCTCTAGGAAGTCTGCTCCTGGGTTTTCAGGTTTAGCATAAACTGAGGTTCCCAAATACAGTAGAGGGGTAGTAATTGTGATCCGTATGACTCTGTCAAGGCTGTTCGACCTAATTGCTGAGGCGATAATCTTATTTCCCAGACTGGGGATATTGGGACACATTAACCAAGCTTCCCTGGTGGGGAGTCTGGAGTGGGCCAGACAACTAAGAGTCTGATGCCGCTTACATATGTGATGGGGCATTGAATTTGGCTCCTTATCATGGATAGTTCACACACAAATGGCTATGGAATTTAATGTACAACTTCCTCTGCTGTGAAGAAGGATCTGTTAGATCAGTCTGTCCCAGATACTTAAAGAATTACTGTTTTTTCAGAAGGTGCTTTGGGCCAGAGATTCTGATGAGCAGTTTGGAGGAGACCATACTCATTAGTTAAGGGACAACTAAGGTGCTTGACCTATTGCAGTAACTCCCTTCTCATGGGCCCATTACAACTCCTTGGTTGCTGTAACTGAGAAGCTCAGCTACTTGAAGTTGCAGAGGGTATGGCTAGCCCAGTGGTGGGATTCAAATATGTGAACAACTGGTTTTCTGTGGGGATGCCGCTTCTGGAAGTCCATTCTGGGCCTTGGCAACAAAAAATTAACTACCGGTTCTGCTGAAGTGGTGCGAACCGGCTGAATCCCACCACTGGGCTAGCCCCATACTCTTCTCCTTCCCTTCTTTTAAGGTGCTCCTCTTTCAGGGTTTAGAAAAGCAGTTAAGACATGATTATTCTATCCAAAGTACATGCTGTGTTTGAACATATAAATGGCCGGACTTGTATTTTTGTTCACTTTTCTTTTGCTATATTTTTTGGTACTGTATTTAGTTTATTTTATGGATTATTATTTGTTTTTGAGGACAGCTTTTGCTTGGTGGTATTTTTGATTGGAAGCTGCGCAGAGTCTTCAGGGAATAGGTAATATATAAATAAAGTAAAAAAAAAAATGCATTTGTTTGTTTAGAGTTCTCCTATATGGAATCAATAGACTGAGCTTACCAAAAGCACTGAGTCATTTGCATTATTATTGGTTAAACACTGTTAACCAATAATAATCTAAATGTAAAATATTAATTGTAACTGCATAAACTAAAATAAAGGTTTAATGAATAACTAATAGTGTGTGAGTGATGTGGCTCTTCAAGTTGATCTTTTCACTTCTTTCTTTTGCCATTTAAAAGTCCTTTTTTCTAAGTACTTATTTCTTGATGAGTCAGACTGAAACCTGTAAATAAAGGAAATGCATGTTCTCTCCAAACAATAGAAGGGCGAGGAACTGTTGAATGAGAACAGCTGTGTTGAATAATGCCAAGTTAGTTCAAGAGCAGGAAATAACTGCAAAGGTTGCACTTTTGGTCAAAGATAGTTTATTTCAGTTAGTTAAAATAATATGTAAACATTGTACATAAGGCAATGGACAATACTAAGAAGTCAGGAAACTGCTAAAAGGGTATATATTAAAACATTACAATCCTGTATCTTTAGTCTTTTAAATTTATTCACAAGTTGGGCCAGTTTTTGAAATTTATGTTGGAGACTCTCTTCTATTTATCCTGGCTTAATCAAGGTTGCTGATGAGATGACATTTGATGAAATGAGAAGACTTCTGGGAAGACATTTGATGAAATGTGATGAAAATTGTATATTTTCCCCATATTTTACCCTGTTTAGATTTATAGCTTGGTCACAACTTTATTGAAGTTAAAATACTTGTTTCATGAAGCTAATACTATTTAGTTAATACTATAGTTCAGCTCTATTGCATCCAATGGAGCATACATTTCAATAAATATAATTGGGCTTGAAGCTGAACTCCATTCTATTCTTAAATTCAGGATATCGGAAAGAGCAAATTCTATCTTCTACTGTTTCTTGTATAGGCAGCAGATAAACAATGTGGGAATTCTGTCGGTATTTAACCATAAAACAACATAAATGGTAAAATAAAATAAATTTATGTATTCTATCAATATATTTATAACACAGTTTTCTTGATGTGCTAGGTGCAGAGAGAACTGGCAGCTGTTCTTGCTATGAAAGCAAGAAAATCAGGTGAATATACCAAGTTTTTGACTATATACAACATTTTTGAATATAATCGTGCAAAGAAAAACAGAATTGATGGTATGAATATGACAGGAAATATTGCTGATATTTGATATCTGAAATGTATGAAATATGTCAGATACTTTTCATTTTTCATTCATCCAATTAATATTTACTTGATGTATTTGCTTGCTATATTTTAGGTAGTCCTCATCTTACAACCAAAATTAAGCCCAATATTTTATAACTTTCTTGCCAGATTCTCGTGAATCTGGCTTCTCCATTGACTTAGCCCAGGGGTAGGCAGCCTTGGCTCTTTTATGACTCGTGGACTTCAACTCCTAGAATTCCTGAGTCATAAAAGAGCCAAGGTTGCCTACCCCTGACTTAGTCAGAAAGTAACAAAAGGTGGTCATCACATGGGACACTACAACTGTCATAAATATATTGCCAACTATTGAAATTTTGATCAAGTAACCATGGGGATGCTACAATGGTCGGGATGGTGGTGGTAAAAAATGGCCATGAGTCACTTTTTTCAGTGCTGTGGTAATTTCAAATGGCCACTAGATGAATGGTTGTAAATCGAGGACAACTTGTATTATAATTTATTTTGTTTTCTTGTATTATAATTTATTCTGTTTGCTTGCATTTTTATACTTTATAAATTAGTACATTGTCTTAATTTGAAATGCATGATTCAATTTTGAAGGTGCTGTTTATTTCCATTGTTTAAGCAGCTTGTCTAGGAACCAAAGTATATTTTTCAAAATTGCCAATATTTACCTGACTTTGTAGAAGTTGCCCAAAGTAGGAAGTCTGTTGGGAGAAACCTTGTTTTTCTATGAACAGGATTTCTTTTAATCTCATGTCAAGTCATTGAAATAGACCACATTTTCAAAGGAAAAGCTGTTAAAAATTTGAAATGGATAGACAAAAGCAATGCCCATTTCACAATTAGGTGAAAGCTAAAAAGAATGAGCAGCATGAGTTATTTGTGTCAGTTACGTTTACGTTTAGAAGCAAATTTGTGTATCCCCTTGAAAGCACAAGAGAAAATGCCCTTCTAGCCCCTGTAACACAGCCTTCCCAAGGTAGTACTGTGAAATATTCTCTGATGGTAATTTCTAAAATCCCTTTCAGTTTAGCTGCCTAGTTTGAGTTATATCCCAACACATCTGGAAGATGACAGGCTAGGGCAGTGATGACGAACCTTTTAGAGACTGAGTGCCCAAACTGCAACCCAAAATCCACTTCTTTATCACTGGGTGCCAGATGGGCGTGGCTGTGGTCATGGCAGACTGAGTGGGGATGGCCAAGGTGGGCATGGTCACCTTGATGTTGCTCGTGGGGAGGGATGCCTGTGGGAGTCAGCAGGGTTGGGGGAGATCCAGGGGGTCTCTGGCAGGTGGGGCGGTGGGCAGGAGGCTCATCCTGCAGGGTGAGGCAAGGCGAGGCAGGGCGGGGGTGCCATTGTCACAGGGCAAGGTGAGGCAGGGGCCGGGGCAGCTGCTGCCTGACACCATCGGCCCCCACACATAGAGGCCAGCGAGGGCATGGGACCAACAGTGTCCATCAACAGCCACAGCCTGCTGGCCCCTCGACTGGCGCACTCTGGGGCTCCGCAGCCCGCCAGCAGTTCAGAGAAGCTGCCTCTGAGCTGGATGGCTGTCCAACAGCCGAAGTGGTGATGCAGTAGATTGTGGCTGGGAAAAGAAGAGCATGCGAGGCCAGGAGGGATGGGATGCGGGGAAAGGAAACTAGCTGTTCTGGGAGGTATCCGGCCACGTGGGACCTTGGCAAGTAAGCGGGTGGTGATTGAAGAGGGACAGTTGCCATCTCCGGGGCATGGCACGTGTGCCCACAGAGAGGGCTCTAGTGCCACCTCTGGCACACATGCCATAGGTTCGCCACCACTGGGCTAGGGAGAGCTTCAATAAGAATTTATTATGTTTTAGAGAATTTGTTAAAAAATATTAGCCAAAGAGAACAAAGAGGTTTTTCAAACCAAGCAAATTTCATTGCAATTGAAACCACAATTTATTAAAATATTTGTTTATAATATATTTATAATATATGTTCCTGATAAAAAATAAATATATCATTAAATATTTAAAAAATTAAAAAATAAATAATGCTACTCCTATGATTGTGATTTAAAAACCCCAATCTTTCAAGTCATTCAGGGTACATTTCTGAGAAAATGCATATTAAACATCATTGCAGATAAAAACAGTATTTCTTCCATGTTTAATGAATGTGATTAATTTTACTTTATCCATATCAGAATCAAAAATGGAAGTTAGTTGTCCATGTTGGTTGGAATACATTCTTTCTAAATAAGCAACGCATTATAATGTTATTCTGCAGGCATGGTTTATTTCTGGTATGGTCAAGAAAATGATCTTAATGAACATTCTTTATTATAACAGAGTATCAAACAGGCCACATCACAATTTTTTAAATTTGAATTTCAAAGTCTTTTTTGTTGGCTAGTTATTTTATTTTGGAAGTGATGAGATTTTACTAATGTCCCCAGAGTTAGCATTTATTATTATTCCTACCCATTAAGCAAGATGCCCATGTAATGAGTCCAATCTCTTACTCTTCCAGTTGTAGTTATGAAGCGGATTACAGGTTGCTTGAGTTGGAGTGGTGCTGGGAGGTCTGGCACAGGCCCACCACTGCAGTACCTTGCCACCCTATTCTGGGTTTCCCAAAATCTATCCCCACCCCTTGAGGCACCCTGTATTCCACTTCCTTCTGTGCTGGGTTCTACAGCCTTGGGCTTCCTCCCCTCAGTCACACCTTGCTGCATTATCTTTTCTTTTGGGAAAGATAACTGGCCGATCTGCCCCATAGTCTTGCTATCCAGGAGCTGCATGGTGCCATCCTATAATAATAATAATAATAATAATAATAATAATAATAATAATAATAATAATAATAATAATAATAATAATAATAATAGTAAAGTTGGAAGGGACCTTGGAGGTCATCTAGTCCAACCCCCTGCTCGGGCAGGAAACCCTACACCATTTCGGACAAATGGCTGTCCAGTCTCTTCTTAAAAACTTCCAGTGTTGGAGCATTTACTGCTTCTGGAGGCAAGGTGTTCCACTGATTAATTGTTCTAACTGTCAGGAAGTTTCTCCTTAGTTCTAGGTTGCTTCTCTCCTTGATTAGTTTCCACCCATTGCTTCTTGTCCTGCCTTCAGGTGCTTTGGAGAATAGCTTAATTCCCTCTTCTTTATGGCAGCCCCTGAGATATTGGAACACTGCTATCATGTCCCCCCTTGTCCTTCTCTTCGTTAAACTAGACATACCCAATTCTAGCAACCGTTCCTTATATGTTTTAGCCTCCAGTCCCCTAATCATCTTTGTTGCTCTTCTCTGTACTCTTTCTAGAGTCTCAACATCTTTTTTACATCGTGGTGACCAAAACTGGATGCAGTATTCCAAGTGTGGCCTTACCAAGGCATTGAAGAGTGGTATTAATACTTCACGTGATCTTGATTCTATCCCTCTGTTAATGCAGCCTAGCACTGTGTTGGCCTTTTTGGCAGCTGCAGCACACTGCTGGCTCATATTTAAGTGATTGTCTACTAGGACTCCGAGGTCCCTCTCACAGCTACTACTATTGAGCATGGTGCCACCTATGCTGTACTTGTGCATTTGGTTTTTCTTGCCTAAATGTAGAACCTTGCTTTTTTCACCATTGAATTTCATTTTGTTAGTTAGTGCCCAGTGTTCAAGTCTGTCCAGATCCTTCTGTATCTGAAGCCTGTCTTCTGGAGTGTTGGCTATTCCTGCCAGCTTGGTGTCGTCTGCAAATTTGATGAGTTCCCCATCTATCCCTTCATCCAAATCGTTGATGAAGATGTTGAAGAGTACTGGGCCCAGAACAGAGCCCTGGGGCACCCCACTACACACTTCTCTCCATATAGATGCAGTTCCATTGAGGACCACTCGCTGAGTACGGCCGGTCAGCCAGCTACGGATCCATCTGGTGGTGGTTCTGTCTACCCCACATTTTCTATCTTGTCAAGTAGTAGGTTGTGATCTACTTTATCAAATGCCTTACTGAAGTCCAAGTAAATTATGTCCACAGCATTCCTCTGATCCACTAATTTTGTCACTTGGTCAAAGAATGCAATAAGATTTGTCTGGCATGATCTATTTTTGACAAACCCATGTTGGCTTTTAGTAATGACTTTGTTTGCCTCTAGGTGTTCGTTGATTCGTTGTTTGATTATCTTTTCCAGGATCTTCCCAGGTATTGAGGTCAGGCTGATAGGTCTGTAATTCCCTGGATCCATTTTTTTTCCTTTTTTGAGGATGGGAACTACATCTGCTCTTTTCCAGTCCTCTGGTAGTTCCCCTGTGTTCCAGGATCTTTGAAAAATATAGTTCAGTGGCTCCGATATTACATCTGCCAGTTCCTTGAGAACTCTGGGGTGTAATCCATCTGGTCCTGGCGATTTGAACTCATCTAGGCTGGACAGGTGCTCCCTAACCATTTTCTTGCCTATCTTAACTTGTGTTTCTGTTTTGTTTTTTATGGCACTATTTTTGATAGGTTGGTCTGTTTTTTTCCCTTTGTGTAAAGACAGATGCAAAACACGAGTTAAATAGTTCTGCTTTCTCCCTGTTGCTTGTCACCTTCTTGCCACTTCCACCCACTAATGGACCAATCGTTTCGTTCACTTTTTTCTTGTTTTCTTGTTTTTTACAAGTGGGCTTCTCTTTGGAATGGCTGCAGTTCTCATGATCTGGCACCATGTGGCTACTGTATAGAAAGGCCACACAGCAGATTGGCTGACTCTTTTTACCAAAATGATTTTTGGAAAAGGTAACGAAAGAAAACAGTAATGGGGAGAAAGTGTGGGACCCAGTGGGGCATGAAGTAGGCCCAAGGTCGGCAAGCACTCTGCAGGGTGAGATGGGGGGCAAGTGGGAGGGGGAAACAGCTAGTCTTAAGGGTGGTCGGCTTGTCAAGAGCCAGA